GAGGTACTGAAAGTGCTACAATGCTGCCTGAGGAAGTCACTGCGAAAGAAATGCTTTCCTTTCTTCCACTTTTGTCTTACATTGCGTGGAGCTCTCCGTTTCACCTTTCAGGGCTGTGAAAGGAATGCTGGGATTTTTCACAGAAGATAGCAAGAGACTGCTGTCTGGGGTTTTTTTTTCCTTTTTTTTTCCTTTTTTTTTTTCTTTCTTTTTTTCCCCCTCTTTTGTTATACTGGTAGTAGAAACTAAAACCTAGTAAGAAGAAAATTGCAAGCCATAACGTCCATGTCTTGTGAAGGTGGATGTTGGATTTTCTGAGTGCAGTGTCGCTTTTTAGATAGCAAAATGATGACTTATAACTGATTTTGTATCATAGCAACATATCAGTTAGTATCTTGCTGCTACCTCTTAACGAAAGGTAATCCAAACACAGATAGAAAGAGGTGGCATGCAGTACAGATACTTATACTTTTGTATGGCTCTCATGTTCAATTGAGACATAAGGACATAAAATTTTATAATCCTTGGCAGTAAGCTGGTATTGAAAAATTACTAATCTTTTCCACCTCCTTTCCCAGTTGTCAAAACTATGATGATAATAACTTACTGTATTAAAGAAGGTTAATTTTATAGTTAAAATCCTTGGTTAGAACTCAGGAGGTATGTTTCCATTACTTCTGCTGTAGAATGCTCACATGGATTTAGGCTAAGTTGGTAAATCTCTTGGCCTCATTTTTTTTTTTTTTTTATCTGTAGATGAGAGAAGGGCTAGGTTTTTATATTCTCAGAAGAGCATTTGGCTTGCGTCTCAGTGGGGGCATAGGAACAATACTGCAGTACAAATAGAATCATTTCTTCTTGAAAGAAATGCTAGTTTAAACACTGAATTACTGTTTTTACTGTCCTAATTGGCACCTCCACCTAAGGTAGCAGTGCTGTGTTCACAGAATGTACAGCAAAATGGGCTCTTACCTTGCTTCCTGTAATTTTACTTCAGCTTTTCAAAGTCTTGTCTTGTAATTGCTGCTTTGTGACACTAACTGAATGGTAGATTTCTAATGTTTAAATATTATAAATCTGTACCTTTTTTTTTTCTACCCCTTGCTTTCCATAAAAACATAGAGTAAAACCATTGCTGTGGATTATCTGAGGGAATTTTACTAATTAGAATTGCATGAGAATTCAGGCTTCTGAGCTGTCATCTGTGCCATCCCCTTCCCAAGCGCTGGAGGTTTCAGTAGCTTCAGATTTCATAGTTGTCATAAATATCTGACTTATTCTGGCGAGAGATCTTGGGGATAACATAACGAGGTCAAATTTTGCAGTCTTGCATGTGTCTGGTCAGTTTTTCTGCTTCTGCAAGCAGAACTTGGCCCCCATCTGAAGTCTAATCTTTTATATCCTTCTCATGCAAATAAGCACAGTTGACTCCAGCGGGATCCGCTTGTGCGAACGAGGACCGAGTTGTGGCAATGCAGCTTTACGCTGTGAGTTCCAAGATGCTGGATTTGGCATTTCTCTTACATACATTGGATACAAAGTTTATAGGTGTTGGATTCTCACGGAATGGTTTTGGGGAAAAAATGAGAAGGTTTAGAATGAGCAGTAATTGAAGGTATGAAAGCTGTTTGTGTGTTGCACGAAGGTAGTCACCTCTAGCCCTTACTAACTTGAGAGTATAACTAGAGTTCTGTGAACTTTGAAAATGCCATTTGATTGCTAACAATACTATGGTAAAGTACATTTGTGTAGCATGATCTCTGCTCTTCAGTTATTGAGGACACCGGTACAGTTTTTGGGTGTCAATAAGAGACTTGGGAAAGAATGCTGTGCAATGCATCCCACTCCTGAAACTGGAGCAGTAGATATTCGTGTAGAAGAGCAACATGACACAAATGCTTGATTTTGTTTGTGCAAATGAGAAGGCCTTTGTGATGCAAAGCAGCATCCTGAAAAGGCAAATGTGCTTTTTTGGTTGTAAATATCCTAGCTAAATACTGCAGTAATTGCGAGCAGAGCTTGGCATTTTTCCTCTCTATTCTCTTCATCGTTATATTTTAACAAGTTCTCATGAGACTATTAAAACGTCTTAGTTTTTGGAACATGTGGCCTAGTGGGGATAACTCTGTCTACAGATGCAGTGGGTTGGCAGCTTGATTTTGCATGTCTTTTCATTTCCCTCCAGATCCTGTGACCCAGCGTAACCTTTGGTCTCTCTCTGAAGGCTGGGGTGAAGGAAGTATGAGCAGGTGACTGATGATCACTGTCAATACAGCCTGCAGACAATATGGGAATTACTTTAGCAGTCTCCTACTCCCTTGCGCTCCCCCCCATCCTCTCTTAAATCAACAAATGCAAATAGCAGCCTCCTCATTTGCTGCTGTCTTGGGGAGGCTGCCCAGGCAGCATGGGCTTTGTTGCAGTCCTGCCTATTGGAAAAAAAAAGCAGCTTCAGCCCTAGGCAGAAGGAAAAATACCAAATGGGACCTGACCCTCCCCCTTAATGGTTAATGCTGCCAATATTTGGGCCTCTGGAGCGTACAGGTAGGAAGATGCTGAGATAAGGGTACTTGATGTGTGTGTTTCAAGAGGGCAGCCTGAAGTGGCTGGAGCTGTTTGCATTGTTACTCTTTGTCTGGTAAACGTCCTTCTGGAAGGGAGTAGGGATTGCCCAGTGTCCTGAAACTCATACCTGTGCTCCTAGAACCTGTTGGCATTGGAAGTAGCTGTGTATTTAACCTTAGCTGTGTCTTTACTGTGCGAGAATAGAAATGCATTTGCTAGATTTCAGTGTAGGCAGAGGCACAAAGAATTTGTGAACCAACATGTCATTACAAGTTCATGATTGTTTTGTTAAACGCATAGCTGTGTGGCACAAATAAATGAAAATAGCTGCATTTTATGTTGGCATAAGCATAATACAGGATGCAATATGTAGTGCTGTATTGTACAGCATACAGTTGATGTTGTTCTGCTTTCCAGACATACAGCTTAAGGTGAGTTGTCATTCAGCAATTCAGAGACGTAAGAGTAATGCTATGCCAGTATTTGGTTAAAATTCTGTTCATCTAATTTTAAGCTGTCACCGCATATGAAAATAAGTTTTGGCATACATAAATAAAAGAAAGGTGATCACTTTGCACGTCCAGAAGGTGATCCTTCTCAGATACCTAGGGATATCATGTCTGTATTTGAAGTATTAGGATTGCAACCAGCCATAATGAAGAGATTTCTTCTGAACTGCCATTTATGAGTAATAGATTAGTAACTGAATCATACAAATAGCAATGTATGTAAATGCTCCTACAGCTTTAAAAATGTGTGTCAGTAGTACTTGTATTTTATAAAAAGTCTGTTTGCAGTGTGTATTTCATCTTACTGTGACATTTTCTATTGCAAATACTTATTAACATTTAACTCCTGAATAAAAATTCAGAGTTTAAGTAGCAGTTATAAAGCTAGGTGCTGGGCTGTTAAGGTGAATATCACTCATAGAACTAAACATTAAAACTGTTACTTAGTCCTTAAGTATGTTCTTTTCTCCAGATCTCATTTCAAATGTATCTTTGAGTTTTATTTTGTGTTTTATTTGCTTACCAGAAAGCCTCAACTACTAATATTTTAGGAGGAGAAATATCCCAAATTCACAAAAATCCAGGAGATTAACTATTAGCAGCCACTGTGCTCCACTTTCAGTCTGGATCAGGCAATGATGACTAGCACAGTCAAAGCCTACTTGAACTTGCAATACTTTTAAGTCATGTCACATTAAGGTCATAGTGTTTAAGGTTAGGGTGAATCACAAAGTTTCACCATCAGCAAGATGCAAAAGGCTATGGAAGAGGCAGTGTGATACTAGAAAGCCATCTAATTTTAGTGTAAAGGCTTAAAATCATTTCAAATACGTTGTGTGTTCCTTTCCCACACCTCTCACAACAAAGGTGGTTTGATGTCACAAAAATTTTCCGTTTTCATCTTCTACTTACCTCTTTCACAGCTTCTGTGTCTTTCTGTCAGTGGTCAGGCCAACAAAGTAGAATATTTGTTGGTCTTTTGGACTTAGTAATTGTTTTCTGTTGGCCACAGGTGCTGCTGTAGTATGGTGCAGTGCATCTTTTCATTGAGGATATGTCCTTATCCATAGGTTCTGTTTGGCATCCTTCTGGTGTTTTAATCAGTCTGTTGTGAAAGGGATTGTTAAAATAAAATCATCATTACTACTTCAGCGAAGAGTGAGTTGGGTGGAAAAGGTTCGTAACTAGCAAGTTCAATGAAATCTGATTACATCTTGCAGCTTCACATCAGATTATAATGTAGTTGCATCATATACATATTGGATCAGTTTTGTATTGGGTTGGGAGGTTCAGCGGAGAACCAGTTCAGTGTTAAGAATGAATAAAAATGATACACCGTGTGATATTTTTTGGAAGTCCTTCTTCCAAATAAAATTTTAAGTCTGGATGGTTCCAGGTAGAAAAGGTCTGGGTATAGTTACGTGAACTTAACTTTCACAGCTGGCATCTCAGACAAATGCTAATTAATGATACTTTGCCTGTAATCAGTTTCTCTTCAGTGGGATTATTTTCTTTACTGCTCAAAATTGGTTTGTAGCTCCCTAGAAGTAGTTGGTGTGTCTTATAATTGTGGAAACTGTTCTTAGAAGAGAACGGATGTATTATGGGCTGTATAATTTGTGAAGTATTTTGAAGGCCTTCTTGATGAATGGCACTTCACAAATATTGTAATGAAAATTATGGGAAGCATTTATAAGGTGAGTGGATTAATTGTTTTGTTTTTATTTGAATGTTTTTTTCTTAGGAAAGTCCCTCTAAAATAATGGGTATAGAGAGTTGTCTCTTGGGCTTTAATGAGGTTATATAGTTTCATGCCAACCACTTAAGTTCAAAATATCCAAGTTTATTTATTTTACAATATAAATTGTGCACTACATTTTTTTTAAGCCTTTGTTAGAAAAGTTGCTTTCCATCGTTCATTTTGAGGTTTTCCTCCCCTCCCCTTTTGTTTTTGTTTTTCCTCAGTTTCCATTACAAAGAGCAGTGCAAAAATCCAATCTTCCCCTTCCAAAGTGACCCGGCGTTCAATGCAGTCTCCACAGAAATCTGCTCCAGTACCAGCGCAACGGGGCAGGAAACCAGGTCGGGGCAAACCCCCTGGACAGTCTGCAGTTCCCAAGAAGGGCAGGTCTCCTAAAAATATTCCCCTGACAAAAAGCACCTCTCATACTGAAAATCTTAAAACAAGGAAAAAAAGTTTAAAACCTGGAAAAAAGGTTAGTCTTTATCTACTACTTTACTTTATATTGCAAAATTTTGTAGTGAGATTTTTTAAATTATAATTTAATTTTCTTTCTTCTCTTCAGCCTTCAGGGCTTTACTGTTCTCAGCAATTGATTACAAGAAAAAAAAGTCTAGAGTAGCTATTCTGGAATATTTCAGTATAAACTTCTGTGGATTATTTCATTCCAGAACAAGATCACTAATTTATTTATGGGTGAGTCATTGGTGTTGAAAAAAACTATTCTGGAATAGCTGTTTCCAGGAAAATTACAAGAGCCAGGGAAGCCTTTAGGCTTTTTAGTCTGGGTTGTTTTGTTACTGAACCATATATAGTTTGATTAATATTTTTTTTGGGTTTTTTTTTGTTTTGTTTCATGTTTAGAAACAAAGGATTAGGAACAGTGAGGGGTTTGTTACAAAATTTAGGCATCTTAAGCATACAGCTGGATTTGCTGGATATCCCCTGCCCCTGGAGATACTAGCATGAAGCAGGAAGCTTCTTTCCAGGCAAGACGTTTCTCCAGGTGTGTGTCTAATTCTGCCCTGATCTGAAAGACGTGGTGTCTTTCTGCTTTTCTCCCTGCCAAGCTGAGTCAGACCTGGATGGTTGGCAGTTTCAGCTCCTCTGGAGCTGTTTGATCAGGTACAAACTGACACTGCTGAAATCCCCTTTGCTTAGCCATGTAACACCAACACTGGTGGGTAAACAATCCCAGAATAAGCTGGTTCAGGGAGATAAACTGGTAGACAACTAACCCAGCATCCCTCCCTCTTCCTGCAGCCTATTTCTGCTCCCCCTGCTGAAAGGCACAAATGCTACTGCTGCTGCAAGGAAGGACGGGATCACAGAAAGGCAGATGTAGGCAAGTCTTGAATTGCCATGGAAGTATAATTTATTTTCTGAGGGTTGTTCACCCACAGCAAGTGTAAAAGAGGAGTAGCAATCCTGCAGTCTCTTTCCCCAGACAGCTTGTGTCTGTCCCTGTGCTCCTCCCTCCTTTGCCTTAGCAGCAATGGGGGAGTGGGGGCCATTGTTTTTTCTGTTTTTTTTTTTTTTTTCTCCACTCCCCTGCCCCCAGGTTTTAGGAAGTTGAAGTTTGGCATTTTTTCTCCACCAGTCTGGATCACTGTGCTATGGGATCTATTGCTAGGGATATGTGGGAAGGGGTGGAGTAATGGCACAGGTGAGACTCCTCCCTTCAGTGGTAGTGCTGATGGGTGTGAAGTGCTAGTGAAGGGACATTATTGCAGCATAACTAGAAAGCTCTAGCACAAAACTGGAAGCAGGGATTTTTAAATTATAACCACAAGGTAAGAAATTATTCTGGGGACTGGAAATTGAAAGCCCAGTGCTATCTCCTGCTGCCTGCCCCTTCAAGTTGGGCATCCAAACTGGTATGCTATTGATGTAAGTGGTCTCCAGCTTTATCTCTTGCTTGGTGTATGAATGTGCACAGGAACAGAGAATAAAGAGGACAAAGGTGCTCCCATCCAGACTCAGCTGGTGGATGGGGGGTTTTAAAGGAGAGCATTGAACACAGGACTTTCTTAAGGATGTACTTGGGTATGGCAGGATGTGCACTTTTGTGTAAGAGTTTTGTGCTCTGTGTCTCATGAAGAAGAAAGTGAGAGGCTTTGTGTATCCTTTGAAAGAATATTTGGAGGAATCTCACCCTTACAGGATGCTTCTGGGCTCTAAACGCTGGGTGTCGGAAAGTGCCTGTTTGGAGCACTACATTTGGCCCGTGGTCTATGTGAGGTACTTGGGGGGATTTGCTTGGGGAAGGGGGCTTACTGAGGGCACTCTGTGCCTTGAGGCAGTGAATCTGAGGTACCTCCGCATAGTCCTCATGTCCTCTGTGGGACCAGGCAACTAATAGTTAGGTGTTGCAGAATCAAAGTTTGATATATCTAACTTGGGAGTTTTACTACATTAACTTTTGCATTAAAAACTTTTAAAAATGAGCTCCTTTTGAGAATCCACAGATGATTGTTATTGCTTTGGTATGTGGTTAAATTGTCAAGATGTTACACATATGTGCAGGCTCATCTTTGGACTGTTACACCTGTTAGCATAAGGGTGAAGAGAAGAAATGGCTTTGAGGGAGTTCTGCACAGACAGGGCATATCTGACATTCTGACACAGAGTACCATACAGCCTGTATACCTCACAATACATACGCAAATATAATGCAAGTGGTATGTGCCTGGAGATTTGAAAGTGCTTTTTTTAAATTTTTTTAAGACTGATCCAGATTTTCAGTCTAAGTAATTGTGCTTCATGTGCCAACTGGCTGTGTGGTAGTTCAAAACCTGTGTATTTAGGGAGATTGGTCTATGCCTGATATACTGTAGAGATGTTTGACTTTGTCATGCTGCAGTGTTTATCATTGTGCAGGTATTACCTTTTATTATACAGCTAAGAATGTTGAACTGTTCTGTCGTTTTTCTCCTTTATGTAAAAGTTTTCTAAGCTTCTCCATAAGTATGAGATGCATGTCGGGTTTTCCATTTGTCTCCCTCAGTTTGCACTGTATGGTTTTACTCTGCTGTAATGAAGACAAAATCTCTTTACATCTCTTTCATTATTTTTAAAAGTACACTTTGCATAACAAGGTAAAGAATTCCTTCCAGAATTTCTTGAGGAAGTGCCTTGGTCTGAGTGTGGATCATGGCACTAAATTCGACCCCACAAAAAGAGAGGTTTTTAAGCGTCAGGGTAAAGCCTATGGAGCGGCCACGTGGGGCCAGAGTGTGAGCAGAGCTCTCTACAGGCAAACCGAGCTGGTGTGCCCAGCCAGCCAGCAACACCCTGACCAAGCAAACGTGCTGAGCCCTGCTGGGAGCATGGCCTCATGAAACACCATGGGAAGTTTGGGATCACAGTTTGGGGTTGCAAAATGAGAACCTCAGCTGAGCAAGCGTAATGTGCTGTATTTCCAAACTGTGTGCTCTTTCTTCCTTCTGAAGGAGAAGGTAGGAAATGGCCAGCTAGCCTCACCATGCTTATGTGTTAGTGTGGAGGGCGGATTGTTCCTCCGTCTTACAGTTTAGTGTTTGTGTTTTGTTTTCATGCCTACGTTTCTCCCGTTTCCTCCTCATTCCCCTCAACTCAACCACCCATATTTTGCACTGTGGTGATAGGCAACTGGGCCCCTAAAGAGTCCCTGCTCCAAAGTGGCCTTCAGGACTGTCAGACTTAAGATCAAAAGCTCCTACTTCCCAAGTGCATTTTTGTCTCTGTGGTAAGGATGGAGAGAGACCTTTCTGTCACCCAGTGTTAAGATATGTAGGCAATTCCTGACAGGTAATACATCACTGCTTTGTTTGGTGTCTGACCTGAGCCACCTCATCTCATTGACAATGCACTGCCAAGCCTTGGCAGTCTATTCCTTATGTTCATGGCAATTCTACCTAGTCCCATATTGTCAAGTAGTTTCTCCAGCCAAGCCTATCTTCTCTGAACTGTAAGGGGCACAGAAATTTTCTTGAACATGCACTGGATTTCAGAAGAAAGTTAACTTCTTCACAACACCTATGAAGAATAAATTAAGCACTGCTATTCTGAAGAAGGTGTATATTTTGATTGCTTTCTACATGATTTTTAATATGTTATTTGGATAATATGCTGCTTCTAAAAGTGTCAAGGATGAATACTGCTACATGCAAGACAGTGTAGCCTCCCTTAGCAACTTGACTGAATTTTCAGTTCACTATAGATCAATTTTAGCAGTAAATCCTTACCATGTGAATAGCCAGGTCTCTGCTGCCTTCAGCAGTGTCAAGACCTTGGGTAATCTCTTATATTCCTAACTTTTTTGTTAGGTAACAGAATGAGAACATAATCTGTTCTCATGTAAGAATAAATGGTGAAGGGAGAGGTGATGAACTTTTATCCAATTCATTATTTCTTTTATTTCCATGTATTTTTATAGCATATCAAAGCACATTAGAAGTGCCTTCCTTGTGCATGTATCTTTTCTAAACCCCACTCCAAACCAAATTGCAACAAAATTCTTTCCTCAGGTGGAAGGTAATGCACACTGACCAATTTCTAAATCTTTTTTGCTGTGAAATCTGGTTGTCTGTCATATGATAAGCTGCAAATAAGTTTGGTTTGGGAAAGGAAAAGGTTTTGGCCACGTGACTGGATTGTAACTACTGGTTTATTTGATATCTTGTATAAAGCACCAATTCCTGAAAGTGATTACTTGGGAGTTTCAGCCACTTTGAAACAAGCTGAGGGACCCGTTGGAGCGAGTCCAGAGGAGGGCCACGAAGCTGATCGGAGGGCTGGAGCACCTCTCCTATGAGGACAGGCTGAGAGAGTTGGGGTTGTTCAGCCTGGAGGAGAGAAGGCTCCAGGGAGACCTTATAGCAGCCTTCCAGTACCTGAAGGGGCCTACAGGAAAGCTGGTGAGGGACTGTTGATCAGGGAGTGTAGTGACAGGACAAGGGGTAATGGGTTTAAGCTAAAAGAGGGTTGATTTACATTAAATGTTAGAAAGAAATTCTTTACTGTGAGGGTGGTGAGGCACTGGAACAGGTTGCCCAGAGAGGTTGTGGAGGCCCCCTCCCTGGAAGTGTTCAAGGCCAGGTTGGATGGGGCTTTGGGCAACCTGGTCTAGTGGAGGGTGTCCCTGCCCATGGCAAGGGGGTTGGAACTAGATGATCTTTGAGGTCCCTTCCAACCCAAACCATTCTACGATTCTATGAAAATCTAGGTGCACTGTAAAGTTGACACCTAAAGGTGACTCAACTAACTGATTTGAGTTGTGATAAACCCAGATGATTGGAGGGGTATGGACAGGAAAATAATCCAAAACACCTGATCTGTGCTTACTAATATTTAGAAGGGTCGTGAATCAGTGTATAAAGCTCATTCTTCTTCCCACTTTTAGATAGAGGTGGGTTCCTTTTTAAGTCATTTGTTTTCTACTGCCTTACTTAAGTAGCTGTAAATGCAAACTGGTGGTTTCTGGTCTTTATCTTCTTTCTTGGACTTTATCTTCTCTGCTGTGTGTAGTACTTTTGTAGTAAGGAACCACACACATTCAATAAGATGGTAACTGATAGCAGAAAGGTTTTGCGGACTCTTTAAAAAGCATTAAACGTTTTCACTTTGGGTTTTTTCTCTAAACAGAAAAAAATCTTGCCAGAACAGCTGACTCCTGCATCACCTTCTCCTCATTCTTCTTCTGAGGGAGACAGTGGCACTACGCAGATACTTAAAGACGGAATTAGTTTGTCTGGTGCAACTGCAGCGGTTATATCCACAGGTAAAAGACCTAAAAAAAAAAAAAAAAAAGACATTTTTAGTGTGAACTGGCTTCCATTTCAAGCAAACTAGTAGTGTCATTTTATGGAAAATGTGCTGCAAACTTATTACTATAAATCATTATCCAGCTACCTTGTTTTTAAAAGATATTTATAGGTGCCAGTATTACTTTGCAAAGCTAGTATTTTGATGCCTGCATTATAGCAAGAAGTACTGGAGCACAGGGGCTTTTGATAGATCTTCTAGACCTGGCAGTTTGTTTCTGTCTGAAGAAGGAAACTACAGTTCTTTCATGTCTGTCCCACTCCTTAATGTATGAAATGGGAATAGATGTAGCTAAAAACCCATATGATATTCTGATACCATGCAGGCTGTACTGGAATATAACAAAATGGAGATTTTATCTCTGTATTGCCTTACATTAAAAGAAACAACTCAGAGTGTTTAGACCAAGTAAAGGCAATCAGAGGAAATACATTCCTCCTTCCTTTTATGTTTGCTTGTTTATGAAATGTAATGAAATGTATCTTGAAATGGGTTGACAAAAGACATGTAAGGTAGTTAAGGAACTAACTCATTGAGGAACTTGTAAGCCTGTAGTGAAACAATTTGTATGTTGTCAACTGAAATCTCAGAACTTTCTAAAAACTCCATAAATTATGACAATTTTGATTGGGGTGGGTTTTTACATTGAAAAAATGTTTTTACAATAGAAGTTGTCAGGCTCTTCTCACTCCCAACTTCAGTCATGGATGAGGGGAAAATATGTATGTGTTTCCTAGGAAGATAAACTTTTCAGGAGGCAGTTGTTGTTGAGCCCAGACAGAAGATGCCATGAAAACTATTTTTGCTGATTTGTATCTTTGATTGTTTGTACAAATAGGTTTCCTCCAATTTGCAGACATCAGAGCGAGCAGATATGCATGAAGACATAAGATCATTAAAACACAGAAATATTTCATTTTTTAAAATCCAGGTTTTTAACTAAGCTCAAATAATACTACAGTTCAGAAAATATGGCAGTCTTTTGTATAACAGAATGCTTTAGATTATCTGCTTAATCACCACAGAGGCACATTTTTTCATTAAGCTGTAATAATGTCTTGGGTGCATTCCTGGTCATGTGACAGCCAAGGCCAAAAAGAGAGAAAAAAATCTTCAGTAATTGCTTTTTCCCTTGTTTTTCTGCCTTTCTGTTCCTTTTGAAAGACAGTTTTGCACAGTCTCTGTAAAAAGTAATTTCAAAAGTCCTATTTGATTGTTTTGTACTAAGCTTTAACCCACCTTCCCGTGTTTCTAGAGAAGTATGTTTATTTTATTTAGCAGAGAAAGCTGAGCTGCAGTGTGGAAATTGTACATGAGTGTCTTGGGGCTTCTGAAGGTAGAGACTTTCAGTAGCTATTATTTGTGCACACAGGACCGTTATACATGCACACGTTAATGCTATATGGGTGCTTCAGAATGAGCATCAGCGGTAGGTATATACCATAGGGTTGTCTTTGTCACACCTTCTCAAATAGGAGAAAAATTAGGGTAGTAACTTGGTAAGGCCAGATTTTTAGAATCGTGTCTTGGTAGTTTAAAGTATCTGCCAGTAATTCTTACTTTATTGGAACTAGTGTATGAACAGAGATTAGTCAAAATAAAAGATAAGCACAGATTATGACAGCTTTGTTATGTTAGTGGGGTAGAGAAGGGCTTTCCAGACCAGAAAGAAGTGGGTTTTAGGACTCAGGCAGGAGAACCTTGCTAGAAGACAGAGAGAGCACTTTTTGCAGGCTCAGAAAGTATGTATGCATGTTCAGCCTCTTGAGTTGACCAGTACGTCTTTTCCTCAAGATTAAAACTAAAAAGACAGTTTGCAGTTCTAACTTTGGTACGTGTCTTAGTTCCTCAGCAGTAACGATGGCTTGTTCTTTTTCAGTGTGTGTTTATGTGAACAAGCATGGAAATTCTGGGCCTCACCTGGATAAGAAGAAGGTTCAGCAACTTCCAGATCACTTTGGACCAGGACCTGTCAATGTGGTACTTCAACAGGCTGTACAGGCTTGCGTGGATTGTGCCTATCAATCCAAAACAGTCTTTGGATTTCTGAAATCTGGCCATCACGGAGGGGAAATGATAACTGGTATGTGAAGATGCTTTGTTTCTTCTGTATCTTCACTTGGTTGCGAACTTGAGGCAGGGCAGAACTGAGGTAGCTGCAGTGATTTTGTATAGCTTTTGTAACTATTTAAGCATAGTCAAGAACATATACTTGTGAACTCCTTTGCTAAGAGAGTATTGGTGGTGTGATTTATCTCGCTCTGGATCCAGAATGATTTGAACAATTCTTTAAATTAGAATTTAGCAATAGCAGTGCTAAATTACTAATACACAGCACAGTCAGATTCTTACACAAAGTAGAGCTCGTGCACCTCATCCAGCAGCTGTAGCCAAACATTTGTCAAGTAAACTCAGTACCAAGTGAAACATCAGCTTTATTAATTAAGTCATTTCCATAATCTTATTCATACATAGTGTTTGTGTTCTTAATGCCTTAACCAAGTGGGTGAAAAGTTTCAAACTAATGTGTTTAGCTCCCAGGCAAGTGATTCCACATGCTAAAGTTGCTGCTTCTTCCTCTCCCCTGTTCCCCAGAATTGTAGCAGTATCTTAGGTCAGTGTTCATCCACCTATGTCCCCTATTATGGAATAGGTTTATGTCTGCTACATATTAATGGCAGGTTTACAGATAAATTATCTCTATATCTCAAGCTGAATAGCTGCTGCTTGACATTTTTTTCCTTCTAGGCTAGGAAATATGCTATATAGCAGTTAGCACATCAATTCATAATTCCACCACTGGCAATAAAAAAGACTTTGTGTTACTTTAGTCTCCTTACATTAACACCAGATGTGAAAGATGATTAGTGGAATACAGGTTCAATTAAATCCTCTTAAAGATGTTGCTGTCTAACAATATTTAAAAAGCAGTACCCTGACTTGCGTACAGCAGAACTACAGTAAGCCTTGCTTATGTGTCCCCATGAGTCTGTTCACAAAATGGATGCTGCTTCTCTGCTGCGTCGTAAAGGTTTAATGGCATTGTATATGTGTGGTTTTGAAATCCATATGGCTTTATTTTTGCAAGATGTATGAAAGTTTGTTACATTATTAATAACTTGCTGTACCTAATTTAGATGAGTCAAATTTTTGCTTGAATGAAATGCACTGAGATGTGCATTGCTAGTGTTCTGCTTGAGCGTTTATCACGAAGGACTAAATCATAGGCCAGTGGTGTATCCGGCCTGTGGCTGAGTAGTTGAAAATAATAATGTCACGGAGGAAGCAGAAATTTCAAAATCTTTGTGTAGTTTTGGTTTGTTTACATTCAAAAGTTCTGTTCAAAAAGGGATTACTGTTCTGCATCTTGGCTTCACCCCAATGCCTGGATTCGGAGAAGCCAGCTCTGTGTCCCTGGCTTTGAGGAACTTGGTAACTTGGTGATGTGGACTGCTCCTGAAGCAGAGTCCTGGCCCAGGTGATAGAGACCCACAAGATCCCAGTGGGTTTCTGGTATTCTTGAGCTCTTGCCTTCTCATCAGCTTGTCAAACAGGTTGCTGAGAAGTGGGTGAGCAAACACTCCCTGTCATTTTATCAAAAATTTGTGTGTGATGTATTTTGAGAAGCACAAAATGTGACTTAGGGTAGTGTAGCACATTACAACAAGCTGCGCATGTGAACAGTAAGGGAGAAGAGGAAAGCTACAGCAGAATAAAATGAGGAATTACAGAATGAAATTGTCGAATTTTGCTTGAAAGTGGTTTTGGAGTTTGGTTTGTTGTTCAGGTTGTTTTTTTTTTTTTTAGGCTGGCAAAAAATGTTGCAGCAGAGAATAAGCAAAGAAATCTTTTGTGGGCTGATAAAGTTTTATGAAGAGTATTATACTTGCTGTAGGAGGAAACTGTATGCTGATGAGGACGTGGATAAAATAATCTTGCTAGAATGCATGTGAATAATTAACGGGTTCTTTTGGTTCAGCTGCCAAAGAAAATAATTGTTTTGAATGGAATTAAATTTAGGATTTTTCCATGTTTTCTTACTCAAACAAAAGCACAAACTGTTTTATTTTTGCTTGATGCATAAGGTTTCAATTCAGGCAAATATAACTGAAAGGAAATTAAAGGCTTGATTAGCAAGCCCACTAATGGTGGTGGTGGTGTCAGCCCCTTTTTTCTCCTTGTAGCGCAGAGACTATGGTGTTTGGTGGGATGAAATAGACTGAGGCTCAGATAAATCTTCTCAAGCAGAGAATTAAAATCAGACTTTTGGGTGAGGTTCTTCACTATCAGACAAACACATTTCTCTGATGGTTTAGTTCTCAGCCTTTCTCCTAGCTTGAACCTGGTATTTAAAACATACTTACACAATGGAAAGTGAAGAAATGAGAATGACTCTTCATCCCGGGGGGCTGGGATTGCACATGCAAGCTCCAGTCCCTGTTTATTTGTCATTAAAGATTGAGGTTATTGCACTTCAGAAGTACTCCTTTTTATTTTTTCCCTTAGCATTTATCTGGGAAGTTAAGAGGCTTATGTTGTCCCCAAGCAGAGCAGACAGCTGAGTCTATGGTTCTGGATCCCACACCCTTAGTTGGAGTTAGTGTGGTTGCCCTCAGGTGTTCAGAGTACAAGGGAGTTGTGTTTGCACTGAATCTTTATTTGTAGATTTTTCCCATGGTATGTCTTGCTGGTGCAGTGACATTGCCTCAGCTGTTTCTTGCTTTATCCTCCTGACAACTCTAAGATAATATTGTTCTTTTCAATGCTTCTTTTCAAAATGAAAATTAAGGCATGGAGAATAAGTGATTTCCCCAAGGTCATATAAGAAGATCGGTAACGCTATTATAAAGCATTTTAAATTTTTGCTGTAGCTGGCTACTGCTTTGCAGTAAATTTGTCAGGAGATCAGGCTGTGCTAGGTCTCACAGCCCATTTGCTCTCCAGAACTGGTTGAGTTCCAAGCAAAAATTTGCCTTTGGAGACCCCTTCCCCAAACAGGAGGTAGAGGAGCTTGTGTCTGAGCCACATGTGGGACTGTGAATCATTAGCATTTCATTTGAACATTGGAGCCTGGAAAAACCGAATGGGCCGTGGAAACACGTGGGGCCGGGACTTGTCCCTGTAGTACTGACTCTTAAACTTTAACCAGTTGCATTGGGTCAGTCTGTCGTGAAAGCAGATGAGAGAGGTAGCACGTTGGTGTTGGTGCTAGCTAGCTAACTTGCATTGACTCTAATCAGAAGCTTCCTTACATCAACAGCGTAATTGACACTTCTGATTTCCTAAGGAAGCCTAAAATATGCTAAACTTGGGCATTTTCTGTGAGTTTGTGTATGTTATCTGTCTTTTTTGTAACACAATATGGAAATGTTCCTTAATTCAGATCTGTGAATAAAGACTTTCTTGTCATTTCTGCTTTTTTTTTTTTTGGTTGGGTTTTTTTAATGCATCTGCTACCAACAAAATGTGATCCTTTAAAGCTCTACTTATCATTTGGAAACTTATGTTAACAACAGAAAGCTGCGTGACAGGCTGAAAACCAAGACGACAAATTGATGCATAAACCTGGTGTTTATGCCGTTTCTTTCTAGCCCTAAGCTTAATTTACAAGTTTCTTTCTGCTTTGCCGTAACGTCTTTCTAATCAGAAGTAACTAAAAGTTTCAGCTAATGTAATGGTAGTTATTTATCTGTATATTGGTAGTATTGAATCTTTTCAAAATCTTAATAAATTTTACAAAAAAAGGAAAATATCATCAGTTGCAACACCCTGTCTTGGAGGCAGGGGGCAAGGTAGGAGGTCAGCAAATGAAAGACTCAGCGCATGTCCAGGCTCTTTGTAATCACTCAGTTTAAAAGGCACCAGATCCATTTGTGGCTGTTGTGGTATCTCTGCCTCCTAGCTCCTGTTGAATTCAATGGGAGCTTGACCACTATAGTGTTGACAGCAAGATAAATTCCTTTAGTGGTAAAATAGAAAATGGCAAAACAGTTTCTGTAGTCAGAATTTCAGTGGTAATGGATGCCAGCACATTACTATGAGTTTGCTCAGATCAGTTAGAAATAAAAAAAAAAAAAAAATCTGAAACTTGTTTGCTTTTTTCTTTTTTTTCTATTTTGTTTTTTTAGCAAGTGCTGTAAAGGGTCTTTTCTGTGTTCTCTCCTGCAAGTAGGTGGTAGAGAGGTCGCCATTTTATAGGCAAACAACAGAAATTACACATAAGGCTTTGGTGATGAGGGAATATTTGCAAGTTTCATTATGCTGGTGTGAATCCAAAATTATTTTATTAAAATAAGTTTCCACAGAGCAAATTTAAACTGGTATGGGTCCAATGGAAGGTAAAATCAGTCCTTTGGATGTACGTTTGTTAAACTACCAGAATGATTGTTTACTCTTGTCTTGTCTTGTGTGGTTTAAATCAAATCTGGATGCTTTCTCCTCTAAGTTAATGATGGTGTTTTACTGTACTTCATGATGCTTGGGGGGTGTTTGACATCATGTTCTTATTCACAGCTTCCTTTGATGGGGAGAAGCACGCCATCAATCTTCCTTCTGTAAACAGCGCATCGTTTGTGCTACGCTTCTTGGAGAAACTCTGCCACAGCCTGCAGTGTGATAATCTCTTTAGTAGCCAGCCTTTCAGCCCTTACATGGGATGTGCGCATAGTCCTACGGAGTATGATAGAAACAAACCAGGTACTGTTAAACAACTGTTATTTTCAGGTGCTGATATGTTTGAGAAATACATGTGGCGACATTATGAAATGTAACTTTTTAATCTGTCTTTCTGTGACATGAATTGTTTGAAATGAATACGCTTTAGTTCTTAGTGAATTGGTTCCAGTGTGGTAGTGCTTTGACAGGATGGGAGAGCTCGTACCACATGTGCAGAAATCATTTTGTTCAGTAAACTCCTCCTTGTAGCTAAGCCAGGAAACATATGTATTGTACCCCTGTGATACTGCTAAAAGGACAAGCTCAAAACTTCACATTTCATTTGTGAAATTTATGTTCCGATCATAAAATAAACTTACAAAAAGATACTTACTGCCTTATGAGAAGGGGCTTGTCCTGAAAGGGAATTCAGTCTAGCCCTTTCCACACTAGTAAAAGGTCCTTTCTTCCCTTTTTATTCACCTTACTCAGCAGCTCCAAAAATTTTTACATTCTACTATGTACAGTCCAGTCTTCTAGTAGAAAAGGTGGGTTTTGCAGGTGGCTGCTTGTTATGTTTCATATGAGGCCAATATCTCTGTCTGCCACACCGGGTGCGTAGAGTGAGGGGGAAATGAAGTGACTTGCACAAGATCTCCCATCAAGTTATTTGCAGGGCCTGGTATTACAAGTCCCAGCCCAGGGGTTACCAGGAGCCATAGCTGAGGAAACCTGGACATCAGGGTAATTTCAGAAGATTCATACTGAGTGTGAAGCTTCCTCACAGCTGTCTGATAGCTGAGTCTGTCCTCCAGGTGCTGCTTTAGAAAATAAAATTATTTTTATTTTTTTCCCCTTTTCCAATGGAGAAATTATGTTTATAATTCTGTTTATCATATGAAAGTAATTAGTTTTAACTCTTTTCAGAAAAGTAGCCAGGGTGAAGGTAACTTGGGCGATGACAGTATAAACTAAGCTGTAGTTTTGACCAAGTGTGTGACACAAGAAACTGAACTGTAACCTGGTGAATGGCTGACGTATGTCTTTGCTTTTGTCCCTGGACTTACCCCATGAGCAGCTTTATGCTAGAGTAATAGGTGGTGACTTTCCTCTTCACAGCTAAAGAAGAAATACCTGAAAACAGGAGTGCTAAACGATACTCTCAGGACTCTCCACCGTATACTGCTCCTCTTTCCCCTAAGTTTCCCAGAAATGATGCTCATCCATCGGAAGGTAATTATATTACATTGGGATTATATATGAGGATTATTTATGGTTTCAGTATTTCCAGTTAAAAAGGACTGAGTTCAATGTATGTGTCTGGTTTTTCTCTAGCCTTTGACAGGTCAGGGTGAAAGTATGTTAATTATTGATCACTGGCACAGATTTTGCACTTAGGGAAGATCTACTGCAAGTTCCAGAAGTCCTTCTCCTAAACCTGCTAGCCTTTTTTGTGAAGGAGCTCAGGCAAATAGGTGATGGATGAAGCCTCCTGCTTCATATATGGCTATTTAGCAGAAAACCAATTGCCTCAAAATGAATTAGGAGATAAAATGGAATCAACTCTTAATAACTCTAGGCTGGGGCCATTAAGTGAGTAAGGGTGCAGTTTGATGATTCAGTTCAGCTGAGTTTAAGGCTCGCTGCCACTGAAAGTTGTGCTGCTCCTGCTTTCCTTGTCCCTGCAGCAGGTCCCAACCCCCCCACCTGGGTGCTGAGATGAACCAGTGAGCAAAAGCACAGAAAACACTTTTGGTGAAGTGAAGAGTGGTTTGCAGTTTACATCTCTGGACTGACTCATTGTAGACTTGGATGAGCACCGGGAAGGGTTGAATAAAATGCAGCTGTGGCCAGGGATGTAGTGAAGCCTCCCTGTGGCAGCTGGCTGTTAGATAGATTTAGCTCACTGATGAATAGCACCTTTTCCTGTGCCGCAGCTCAGCTGCGGTAACTGAGCATGTGTCTAGTCTTAGTTTGCCTCAGATGTGAAGTAAAGCATCGAGGTTTAAACCTCAGTGAGAGAGACTTAGGAAAATATGGGGTTTTTTACTCTGCTACTTAACTGGTTAAGCCATGGTAGCTTGTTGATGTTGACTTATCCCATCTGATACATGCTTTCTCTTCTTGCAAGATATTTGTATAGCATTTCCAAAAGCTTTTTTGAAATACGACAGGGATTAGTTATTTCTTCCTTCATATTTTTTTTCTTCTTTTTGGAGATTCTGGGGTTATTTTGTGTCCATTAGCATGAGTGGGGACAGAATGATCTGTTTTTCTTTGCAGATTAAAAAGTCATAGGACTACAATTACAGTAGAAAAGGATACAAAATTAAAATGTTCAAAATGATAGCTTATTTAAAATGGCACATCTTATTATTTTATATATATGTAGCATATTCAGTTCTTTTTATATAATAACATCAGCAGAAAATACAGTTCTGCATTGATTATTGATTTCTGTGTCTTTCCAAAAGAAGTAATGGCTTAATTCCACAGGTATATTGTACACCTAAGTTAGATATTTCTGGCAGGTAACTTAATAAGTGTAGAGCACTTAATTGTGCTCAAATGAAGTTGTTTCAGTTGGAGCAAAACAAATGTTGGAGTAGATCTGCATTATCTTGTAAGAAATCTTCCTCAAAGTAAACATGCATGCACATACTGGTTTTTAATCTTTGTTTACTAATGGATCCCTTTTACAGATGAAGTCAGTGTGCTCCTTAAAATACATTTTAAGATTAGTAGTTCATTATAAAATGCAGTTACTTGGATAAAAAAATAATTAAAGTAAGTGTTTTGCCATGGTTTCAGAGGTTTGAATTTGTACTCTGTGCATTGCAAGAGGCAAAGTGTTCTCTAGTGTTGTGTGTTTCCCATTAGGGCAATGTCCTCTGCTGAAAATCTGGAGGTAATTTTATAGCGGTCAGTCATGGGTTGGTTAGCAAGAAAGATCTGCCCCCAAAAAATTCTGGTTCCATTGAGACATAGTTGTCTTGAAATAGTTGTTTTGAAATATCATTTGAAGGCAAAATAGAATAATTGTGGGAAAGGGTCTTTCAAACAACTCATTTTCCTTCTGATCTGCTCAGGGCTATGTTTTGCAGATTTTGCTGTCTTTCCTGCTCACTAACAGTTTCTTCTTAAAGTTATGAAAGATAAAGGAGGGGGGGTGGGGAATAACTCAGTCTCCCTCCCCCTGCAAACAGAGTGTTCTTACTACTGTGGCGGATTACATCATTCCTGTTCTGTATGAGGGAGAACAACTGGCTTCCAATTCCCAGAAGAGCTTCAAGAAAACAAAACGTCTGATTCCTGCTAAGGCCTTCAGTGTTTAAACAGTCTGTCATCCTTACATTTGAAACATAAGGCCTTTTATTGGCCTTTTATTAATCTACCCAGAAATCAGGCATTCTGCTGGGGAAACTCCCATCTCTTTCTGTACCACTGTTATTCACAACTGCTCAAAACGTCAAGGCAGGAGAAGTGTGTCATTCGTTGCTTCATGGATTGCAAAGCTCCATTTGCTAGACGCCGACTTTTGAATCAGCTGTCGCACCAGTTGACCACATTTTCGACAAGATTGCAGCTGCGTTTTCTTTGTAGAGAAGCTAGATGGATGGAAAGGGAAGTGGATTGGACGTTATAGTGGCTGAACAGAAATGCCTTCTCTAAAAGATGATGGCCCTGGGAAATATGCCAGCTTTTCTGCCGTGTGTATGCGAATTGAGAATTTACAGTAAGATAAATTCAAATGCTGGTATCTTGGGAAAAAAAGCAGAGTAGATCTTTCCCAGCCCTATTTACTGTTGCTTGCTGTAGGGTATATAACATCAGAGAGAAAGCTGGGATATAATTGGAATAAATACAGTTAAATTCTTTTGTAATACAGTCAATTTTAAAAATCGTTGTGTCTTCAGAAATCTTAATGAGGATTATGTAAAAAAAATATTTTTAAAAAACACTGTATTTGGGACTTTTGTTTACTATAAATACAAAAAAGTTTCTTCATAAGACATTACATGGAGTTGGCTGATATATGCTAAAACACTGTAGTTGAAACTTTCTTATTGGGAGTATTGTCTCCATTGTTTCATGCTACCTTTCAAGACTTCTGAAATCTGAATCTACAGGTTCAGTCAGTTAAACCTCAGGCCCCTTCCTACGGCTTTGCTGTAACTATTTAAAGTGTCACCTCTGCCTTTTGGTCTTGGACTGAGATTTCTGTTAGTGGTTTCATTCTCTACGGTTCTAATTTTCCCTTGGTTGGCTACCCTTTAATTTTATAGTACGTATCACTGACTACATCTCTTAAAGTCTCTCTGAAATTCTATAGAATGATGGCTTTTGTTTTTCTTTTTGGTAAGTTGCTGCAACTACTTAGAGGTGACAAATGCGAAGAAGTTAGTTTTCTTGTTTGTTTTCTTTGAAAACCTCAGTAGCCACTTCTTTGCTTTTGTGATTCAAGTCTAACAAATTAGAAAATTTTGCAGTGATTGTTTTGAGGATTGTCTATGTGAAAGAGAAGGGCTGGTGTCCATAAAAGCTGCTTTATTCCACAGCTATCAAATTTAGTAAAAGATGATACATCATCTTGCAGATCTTGGCTTATCGAATTCACTAAGTAGGGAGCTGGCTCTCGAAGTGTCTTTGTTCCCTTTCAGGGTTGTGCTGTCCGAAGACCAAAATACACTTAATAGTTCTTCACTGCACTCCACGTTTAAACAGGTTTCAGCAGAGAACCAAAGACATCATGAAACAAGTTGAAAACATGCTTGAGAAGCTCACTGGGTTTTTTAGGAAAACATTCTTCCTTTAGTTTTAATTGGGTATTCGCCCAAGAAATTCTTGAAAGTTGTCATACAAGAAGGGTAGTAAAAAGCTTATTTCAGGAACTTGTTTCACAGAACATACCAGTTCTTATCCCAAAGAATATGCTGCTTCACTAGCATATGTTTTATAACTTCACTAGAGTAATTTTCAAGATGGTAGTGTGGGGTTTACACTTCTGTGAACCTGTTAGCTATATTTTCCAGCTCTTAACTCTCCTGCCAAAGCAGCATTTGTTTCATACAGATTTGTAGATCATGCTTCCAACTTCTTTCCTGGGCTAGATACTGGCCTTTGCAAACAAAGAAGAATATGTGTGATTACTAGAGAGTGGAGTGGAGTTCTCATTGATTTGGGTTTTTTTTTTCCCTCACATAGCATGTTTCTCCCAATCAGACCTGAATTTGGTTGACCAAGAGTAGAATTTTCAGTAATGAAGCAAACGTGACTCCTGTCTCATGGCACAGGGAAAGGGACCCGCTGAACTCTGCTGATTTGGCTTAGAAACAGTATTGACAGGGTCTAAAAATTCACAAGCCTTCTAAGTGGGTGTTGTTTGTGTTTTGCAGAGTAGAAATTAGCTGATAAGTGATAAGAACTAAAAAAGGGAACGGTGATGTGCTCCCTGCTTGAGACCTGATTTTGTGAGGTTTTTTTTACTTGCTCAGTATGTTCAATTATTTACATGTGTCTTTAGCTTTTCAGAGCTTGTGCTACTAGACCCTGCCCTGTGCAAAGAACTAACTGTATGTAGACACAGCGTTGTGGTCAAAACGTGTCATGTTAGTGTGCCGTAGCTGGCACTTGCAGCCTTCTGTGGCTTTGCCTGTAACCTGTTCAATTTTTAATCATGGCCTCTGTGTCTGAACATATTGGGATCTATAGATGATAATTGTCCACTTCTTTTGTTTATGAAGTTAGTGACTCCCTCTGCTGTTTAGAACAAATTAAACAATTGTTAGTTAACATGAGAATTTTTACTTAAAAATTTCTTGCAAGATAAACATAACATACTCTTAATAGTTAGCTTTTTGAGAATATGTTTTAAAAAAGGTAATGAAAATGCTTGACTAAGATTGCTTGATGTATCAATATTCACGTCAGACAATTTTACCCCAAAAAACTTCCTCTGTCACTTCCCTGTTCATAATATTTTACAAATACAGCTGAAATGATTTATGGAAGAGTGTCTCAAACTTGACATATTAAATCTTTTGCTACAAAAAATGTTTTAAAAATACAGTAAGAGCCCAATGATTACTTGAGGAAAAGGGACAAGCATTCAGCAGCAGTGATTGCCTCACAGGAGATTTGTTAACAGGCTTACAATCTGTCACTATCTTCAAGAGAACATAGCAAGGAGTTGAATAACAAAAGTATAATGTCCATCACTTTGAACATACTGATACTTGCTTTTTGTGTAGCAGAAACATTACCTATAGAAGAAAACAGCACTTCCAAAGAACACCGATTTTCTGAGGACTCTATGGATTCTGCACTTAATTCTGTAAATGACTCAAGCCCAACTCGTCGAAATTCCATGGAATATCGTACTTCAGGGGGTGCAGCATATTACAGAAATTCCCTTCAGCCAGTGACTGCTACCTCAAATTCAGCCCCAATCCTGTGCAGGCTGTCCTTGAGCTCTGCTGGGAGCAGCGGTTACTATGAAGTTAGTAGGAATCGAATACAGAGGCGGATTGAAGGTATGCTATATAACTAAACTTTCTAAAATATGTAACTGCTTTTATTAACAGACAAAGTCCGTGAGTGATGAATAAAGAAGTTCTTTGCCATGGGAAAGCTTGCATGTGGAGTGAAATGTGGTGCTGTTGCCGAGCTTGTCAGGCTTGCTAACATAACTGCAAATGCAGAACTTAAGCCTGTTAGAACAGATACTGTGGTGCAAGCCAGGGGGGTCTTGCCTGCTGCACTTTCCTGTCACTGCTGTTATGGACCCTGCAGCAAGCCAGACCGGAGAGGGCTAGCTATATGCAGCTCAGTTCCTGAGCATCTTATCAACTATTACCATGTTGCTGAAATACAGGGATAGGGTATCCTATCCCTTCTTCTGTTCGGCTTAACTTACCTTTGCCACGTTCCCAATTAATGGCATCTTGGGACCCAGGAGCCAAGTACAAGTTCAACTTAATCCCTCTAGGTATGGCATAGTGCTGATGTTTATGCTGCTGTAAATATTTGCAGTTATATAAGGCATTTAAAGACAAATGGAACAGTTCAATAGTATTTGGAGGAAAATAAAACATCTTTCATTCTAATTTATTGCAAAGAATGTGTAATAAAATCCACACATTAATATTAAACAATGTCTTATGTAAAACGAAATGTATTATCCCTGTATAGACTAGTGATACTTCTTCCTTTCACAATTTTTTTATACTAAAAGCTGCAAGTTCCACAACTGGACCGGATCTGAATTCACTAAAAAGAGAACCTTCAAGAATATCGAATAAGGATCCTTCCACCTGGTCAATAGAGGAAGTAATGCGTTTTGTGAAAGAAGCTGATCCACAAGCACTAGCTCCACATGCAGAACTCTTTAGGAGACATGTATGATGCATATCCATTCTGTTCTACTAGATTGTGTGTCATGTTATTCTCTTAAAATACAGCTTTCCTGTTTATCATACTATTTGCAGTTGAAGGTAGAATAGACTCTGCTCGTATATTGGAGGCTGAAAATTATTTTTCCACCTGAAACAACTCCTGCAGTATATTATCTCTGTGTTCCGGTCTTGTTAGACTAAAGTGAATGCCCACTGCTTTCCAGCTTGTATGGCATAATGCCAATACTGGAAGTATCCGACTTCTAATGGCCAGCATCCATGGCACCCCTGTCATCCCTGGTACCTCTCGAGAAGATGGCATTCTCATGTACAGCATGGGGCATTTGACCAACACAGGTGACACCTCTCTGATAGTCTGCTTTGGAGACTGATTATCCCGAAGCATAGATGCTGTTATGCCTTGCTAGCTTTACACTTTTTCATTAATACTAAAATTCAGAGAATCAATTGAAATGTTGACTTCATCTGTTTTGAAAAACAATGCATAGGGTTTCATAAGATCTAACTAGATGTTGCATTTAGAGAGATAAATGGTGTCAGTTTCTCTGTACTGTTTTTGGTCTCCCCTCTTCCTTTTCACTGTCCTTTTCTATGGCGGGTTGCTCAGCAAAGAGCCACTTTCTTATTTTGTTGTATACGTGGCCTTCCAAAATGAGGTTGGCTTTCTCTTTAGTAGTGTTTCACCCTTGTTTTGCACCAGCCTCTACTGACAGTTAAAGCTCAGAGTAAGCTGGATTGGAAGGAAAACTCAAAATAACTTTTAACGGAGCTTCCTGTCTTACATTTTATTTTTAGCTGTGTAACAAGACTAAATGTCACTTGTTTTGTCAGGTTTATGTTTAAAAAAAAATAAGACAGAGTGGCTTTCTTTATGGTGTTTTAAGGAACTAATTGCCTGTCTACAGTACATAATGCTACTAAGAGCTTAGGACTGTCACATTTCAGCAGCTTCTCAACCAGGCAGTTGAAATCTGACTAAGTCGTCCTTGGTCTTGATCCTAACAATCTGTCTGGTTTAACCTGGACATAGATCTGTCTTCTTTCACAGATTTAGATGGTCTGTAACCCCTTCCTCCGTGTGACTGCTGGCATGCGCATGCCAGAATCCTCCCACAGCTGTGTTCAAGGTTCAGTGCAAGGCCTCAGTGCTTGGATCATTTAATCTCTAACTGCACAGACCTTCCTTTGCAGCTTTCCCCCCCTCCCCCCCTACCCTTGACCCACTCACTTTTTTTCCCAGCTAGTACCTAATATTGAGGGCCATTTGGTCAGTTTCTTTTACTTAGTATAACTTTCTTTAGCATCTCAAATACCTTAATCATACATTTAAAAAAATACTAAAATAAATTCAATTTCAGTGGCCATCTGTAAATATCAAATTGTACTAAGTTACTGGTTTATATATAGTAGATATATTTGTTTATACTGCAGTAAAAATTTAATGTACTTTCCAGTTTTATCATGCAGCTTGTTAAAGTAGTTGTATGTCTTGTTTATTCTCTTCCTTCTGCAGGAAATTGATGGGAAGGCACTACTGTTACTGAGGAGTGATATGATAATGAAATATATGGGACTGAAGCTGGGGCCTGCCCTGAAGTTGTGCTACCACATTGAAAGACTTAAGCAAGGGAAGTACTAGCCAAGGGGGATACCACCATATGTGTGTTCATATCACACTAAGCTCTCAGGTTCACAGCCATCGCCTTTATTTGAAACTATTTTGCTGATATAAATCATCTTTATTTTTTGAAAGTGCTCTCAAAATGTAAAAAAAAAAAAAAAAAAGACATTCAGGATAAGGGTGGAGGGGGAAATCTGTATTACAGTCTAGTATTTTGCGAACTATCTACGAAAGTTTGTAGGGAAGGACAGCCGATCGTACTGGGGGCAGGCGGGTTGGGTAACAGCGCTCTCCTAATCCTGCAAAGTGCGTTCCCTATTACAGACTTCAGCCAACCTGTTCATATTCAGAACCAAAACAGCTGAATCCCAAAGGAAAATAATAAAACAAACCAGCATCAGGTGTTAATAGTTTTCTGGGGTGGCTGTAATCTTTTATATTGCAAGAAAAATATAAAACAGAAGATCTCATCTCTAGTGAATGCTGTGTCTGGTCCTCCAGCAGAGTAATACTCTAGTATACTATTCTAGATAATTCTTCCTAGATTTCCATAAAGGGAATAGCCATATGAATTGGTCGTGGGGGAGGGAGGTGTGGGGAGGAAAGGTTTATGGAGGACAGGGCTTAATACAAATATAAGCTTTTATAAAGTATGATTATCAGTCCTTTGGTAAGTTATGAGGACAAATGTACGGTATATTGTCAATTTATGCAGGCAATAAATATTTCTGTTTCATGGAAGGGCATATTGACTGTATAAAAAGCCATTTCTGGGACAGACTGATTTAACTGGAACAACGCATCCACATTTTAAACATTCCATCTTTTTGCCAAGTTTGGCATGGATATGTGTGTTCATGCTTTTTATATATACACGTGTACGTGTCAGGGAAATACATGCTATATATATATAAAAATATACATACACACTGTACATATGTATTCAGTTTTTTAAATGTGTACTTTGCACTGTGCCAGAGAGAACTGTACAATTTCTTGTTGTTTTTTTTTTTTTACCAGTAAATTTAGTTGTGTACTACTTTCATATTCATTAGCACCTGTTTAATTTGTTGTCCATTCTTGGAGTCAGAAGGTGACAAACAATCAAAGGGTGACTTTATTCATACAGGTGATATCCCTGTACTATGCAATACTCTTGGTTATTCATCCCTTAACTCTGAGCCATATATTCTAGTGTATTTCTGGAAAGATGCATTTGGTTCCGATGTTTTGGGCTTATATTTCCTATAAGGAAGTGCTACTATGTAACCGATAAGCCTTTTTTTGAGTAAAATTGGTGCTGTTTGTATAAGCTGTAAGAATGAGTGGTGATAATAAAGCAGTTTGTTGTCACTGCCAATTGTAATATACATCAGGGACAAAAAAAATACACTTTCTGTGTAGGAAACTGAATGTACTGTATGTAATAGTGCAAGTGATAAAAACTATTTGCTAGGGAAGGTGTAGTCCTAAAATGGTAGGTTTTATTATATTTCTTACTGCCTTTTTATATGAAAGCATATAGTATAAATGTATTTTTTACAAATTCCTTTTCTGAAAATGCCTTGCTTTACCAATAGGCTGACACTCCTCAGGTTTCAGCAGAGATACTGCTGCAAAATAATAAATTTTGTGGCTCACAAGTGTCCAAGTATTTTGTTAGTTTGACTGCAATGCAATTTTAATTTAGCAAGTCATTTGGACTTTGACAATTGTTATTATTATTACATCATTAAACATTTGACACTAAAAGTTATCTATATTGATTTGTTTTGCATATCTTTGTGATGCGTGTATATTTAGATGAATAATATGAGTGTGCTCTTGTAGTAAGAAAAGGTCAGAGCGTTGATTGGAGAAACAGAATATTTTCTCTTTGTGTTAGGAAAATACTGACTTGATTGTTGGTGTAACCATATGAAAGTTAGTTATATATCAAGGAAAACATCATGCCCCACGTGTTCAGTATATTGTTTATACCTTACTTCTTCCACGCTTTATTATGCTGAATCTCAGAGTTCTTTAGCATAAAAAGCTCTCATACGATTTAAGTGGAAGTAATTGACTGAAAACAGTTTTCATTTTTTACATTGCCATTGGCATTAAAAAAAGAAAAAAAAAGTTTCAATTTTCTGTTTGGCCTTTATGGAATGCCATGTTTGTGCATGGCACTGTTATGGGTATAAATATTTGTTCAAGGCTTTCTGTGCACCCGTGTGCACAGGGATTACTGTGATGTACTAGAATTTCACCGTGTGCTATAGCGTTGAGATTCAAACGTTCAAAGTGTTGTAGCGGAATATATTTTTTATTCTTTATTTTCAGTGGGATGTTCTTATCTATCAACAAAAATAAAATAGTTTGTTCATTGTTGTAACTGTCCGTTTTGTTTGACGTTGTGTGTATGTGTGGGCGCTCTTTGCGTAGGCGAGGGTAGCTATCTTATCTGGCATTTGGCAGTTCTTGACAGTTCATGTAAACATTTGATGTAAGGAAGTTGTAATCAGAAGGGTAAAATCATTCCAACATTGTCTATCTGAAGCAATTAATGTTTGAACTTGGGTTGATCTATGCTTTCAAAATAACAACTTAGGAGTATATTCAACTATTTCATTTTGCTTATAGCATTTTGCCGCTTAAAGCTCACAGAATTCTCATATAACCCCTGAGGGGAAGAGACTGCTAAAACCTGTTTGTCCTGTGTTCAGATGAAGACTTGAAGTATTTTAAATCACAGCAGCTAATGGCAGTGGCTTGATGCTTTCTTATTTCTGTGATAGAGAAGCCTGCTGTTTCGGTGGCTGTTGGCAGCAATCGGCCTATACTTGAGGAGTAACTTACATTGGATTCACGGTAACCTCAAATCCTTCGCAGGCAAATTTGGAACCTGGAAGTTGGTAGTGACAATAGTCCAGAGGTATTTTGCATCTGACATCTCTCAAAAGATATTGAATATCTTTTTGGTGCGTATTTGATATAGATGACGGCATGATAGATTCTCTGTTTCCGCTGAGTTGCTTTTCTATCAACAGGGATTCATCCGCTTATCTGGTTCTGTATCTTTCAGTTGTCTTGCAAGACAGTGCCATAACTCTTCAGTACATCATAAGACCTTTTCTATTTGAAATTAAAATACTGCTGCCTGGGAGGACTAGCAGCTCTCTCAATTCTTGTTGCAGAAGACCTATGCAATATTGAAATTGAAGAGTGCTGTATGGCGGGGTGATTGCATGTTGCGGTTGACATGACTGCACTTGTAACAAGTTTGTTGTGGCTGTATACATATCGTAGGACTTCTTCAGGAATGACAGTGAAAGACAACGACATCATGTTATAAATGCATGCTCAAAGGATGGAGCGTCTTCCTTTTTCTGTTGCTTTTAATAAAGGCATGCCATTTTTTACTTCAGGCAGTAGACACGGGCAGAGATGTTCATCTGAGTAGTCATGGTATTTGTAGAAACTCTTCTTCCTTTCCAGTCACTCAGGGATATAATTTGCTCAAAAGCAATGTTAACCTTCTCTGTGATGCCGGTGACAGTTTTATGTGAGTCTCTGGATGTGATTATGTATGCCGTGAATGTGATACAAAAATTCTACATTGGAGTATCTCGAGCATTCCTGTAGGGGGAAGATGAAGCCCTGGGTTAGGATGACTGAAATCTTGAAGTTTGAACGTGGTCAGATGAAATGGCATGGTTCTTTGTGCTTGTTTTTCCTTTAATTGGAGAAGAAATTCAGAGGATTGAAACATGGGTACACTGTTGAATTAATAGTTTAGCTTCCTGCTTAACTCAGAGGGCTCCAGTCACCTTTTCGTATTCATGTATTATTCCAGTGGGCCAACTTAGGATCATGTTTTCCTTTAAAGATGAGTAACTCATGAAAGTCTATTCATATGTATGTATATGTGAATCTGTAATGTAAATAGTTTTTAAATTAAATGGTCTATTGTCCAGAATCAAGGAGTTAGAGCAGTCTGTGTCCAGCCAACTTGAAGTAGAGGCTGGTAGTTACTGTTTTAAGATAATTTGTGTTATACTATTTATCTATTCTCTTTCCAGTTTGAGCTGACTGGGGGTTTTTCTGTTCTGCATTGTCAAAGATTATCTTAAGTCTGCTTGGTGTTTTTGTCTAGACCACTTATGAAACTTTTACGCGTGGTTCCCTATACCAATTACTCTGAAAATACATAATTTTTAAAAGGTTTTTCTATAATAGACTTACAATAGTAACTGGAAGTCATGAGTGCATAGAAGGCCGTATAGAAAGCAATGCTACAGGGAAAACCAAAAATGCTGCTCAGCATAGATGTGAGGGTTTTCAAATTAAATATAGCAGGTTTTGTATCTACGGCTTTTTGTGTTTCTGGTTTTGTCTTGTATCTGCCCCATTCTAAGTAAGAGTTGAGGAGTGTGTCACAGAATTGAGGACTAGTTGAGGTTGGAAGGGACCTCTGGAGGTCATCTGATACAGCCCCCCTCTGCTCAAGCAGGGCCACCTAGACCCAGTTGCCCTGGACCATGACCAGATGGCTTTTGAATATCTCCAAGGATGGAGACTCCACAACCTCCATGGGCAGCCTGTGCCAGGGCTCGGTCACCCTCGCAGTGAAAAAGCGTTTCCTGATGTTCGGAGGGAACCTCCTGTGTTTCAATTTGTGCCCATTACCTGTGGTCCTGGCACTGCACAGAGCCTGGCTCTGTCACCTTTGCACCCTCCCCTCAGGTATTTCTATACATTGATGTGATCCCCCTTGAGCCTTCTCTTCCCCAGGCTGAACAGTCCCAAGTCTCTCAGCCTTTCCTCACAGAAGAGATGCTCCAATCCCTTCATTATCTTTGTGGCCCTTCATTGGACTCTCTTCAGTATGTCCATGTCTCTCTCGTACTGGGGAGCCCAGAGGTGGACCCAGCACTCCAGGTGTGGCCTCCCCAGTGCCGAGGAGAAGGGAAGGATCACCTCCCTCCACCTGCTGGCAACATTCCTCCTCACGCAGCCCAGGGCACCATTAGCCACCTTTGTGGTGAAGGCATGTTGCTGGCTCATGGTCAGCTTGGTGCCCACCAGGAGATCCCAGGTCCTTTCCTGCCAAGCTGCTTTCCAGCTGAGTGGTCCTCAGCACGTACTGGAGTTGTCCCCAGGTGCGGGGCT